CCCCATGCTGGGTAATGATGTGTGAGTGTTAATGTGGCTGCCTCTCCATCTTTTGTTCCCGTAGGTCGATGACGCCATGCTCATGTTCGACAAAACAACCAACAGACACAGAGGTAGGTGCGCACACTGCGCAGAGTTAAACTAACACACACGCACGCCATGTAAATATGTGTTGGCATCAAAATGCGTCTTTGCAAATGAAAGGAGAGGCAGCGTGACGGAGTCATTAGGTGAACCTCTGCAAAAAGTGTTCCCCCCCCCCCCTCCAAGCACATTATTTTCTCCTCTCTCGCCTCCCCTCCCCTCCATTTATGTGGGTTAGGGCAGGGCCCGCTGAGGGTCGCCCTGCTCAGTCAAGATGGCCACAGGCGATGATGTAACGCAGCGAGACAGACGAGGAAATGAAGAGGGAGCGGGAGCGGGGTGGAGAAATTGATGATGATAATAATGATCATCTGGGCTCAGTTTTAAGAGAAAGAACCATGCTCAGGAGGCCCCCCCTCCTTAACGATAACCCCCTGATTGATAAGCAAGACGTTCGAGAGCCATATCCTTACTTGGCTGAGGGAGAAGGTTAAAGAAGTCTTTTCTTTTGTTAACAGAGGGGCAGCCAGTAAAATATTTATGTGGTTTGTGTTCGTCTCCTCCAGGTTTTGGCTTTGTCACCTTTGAGAATGAAGACGTGGTGGAGAAAGTGTGCGAGATCCACTTCCACGAGATCAACAACAAAATGGTACACGGCTGAAAACGCTGCGCCGAAGCACGGAACATAAGGAGTCGCGTTAACAAATGATGTGCAGCTGCGGATGCGTTTGTTCCTATTTCTACTGAACACTTGAACATTAGTCCAGTCTGAGAAACTCTTGGAGTGAACCCACTTCAAGATGGGTTCGTTAGCAAACTCGATGATTATACCTCAGTTTACTCTCGAGTGAAGTTTTGTGTGGTCGCAGCCGACACATGGCTAACACATAGCTAACACGTACTCTGAGCGTGGCATGTCACATAACGCTGGTTTTTACGTTTTAGCTACAATTTTGTTGCACTTTGACGATCTGAGTTTAAAAGTGGCATGAAAGGTGACGTGACGGGCACGTTCATTTTTTAAAAATTATTTATTCTTCCTCTAGGTGGAGTGTAAGAAAGCCCAGCCCAAGGAGGTGATGACACCGACGAGCTCAGCCAGAGGCCGCTCGAGAGTGATGCCCTACGGGATGGACACGTTCATGCTGGGCATTGGCATGTTAGGTAAGATTAGAGATAAAATACACAAAAAGGGCAACTTTTGGGGATAAACTTGAAAGAATACTGTAAAATAAATACATTTTTAGTGATTTGTGTTGAACTTCCTATAAGGATGAACACTTCACATTTACTAAAAAAGGTTTTGTAATATAAGCTAACACAAACAAACAAGACATTTTATCATGCTGTGTCCACATTACAGCATAGTTCAGAATAAATCCGTGAACTAAACTTTAGTTGAACCTTATTGTGTTTATTTTTGTGAAGTGAACACAGATATGATCACATCCCAATAAATTACTGCTGACTTGTGTTACGTGTAGCCCTGGTTGGATTTATTTGAAACACAGGACCAGAATGAAGAGCTTTCATTGAAGAACACTTTGTTTTTTAAGATGTTCTCATTGTCTAAGCTCAGACCTGCTTTATGTGTGGTTTCTGTGCGCCCCCTGCTGGCCCTTTATGATTATACCATGATAAGTGAGCGCTCATCTTTTTAAGAACAGATGCAGAGTCTTTGATTTTATTAGTTTTTAAGCACACAAGTGAGGAAATTTTTATTCTGTATATTTTTATATGTCTTGATTAGCTCATATGGCCTGAAGGTTCACTTCAAAATCAATTATTCAGGACTTAATCCAAATTTAAAGAGATAATAAATACATTGGTATATCCATCTTAATTAAAGAGCTTGATCAAACTCATACACTCATATAATTGTGTTTATATAATTTGTGTTGGAGCTGATTGTAGATGAGTTATCTAACCTCTGCAGCTAAACCCCTGAAACTAATTTGTATGTCTTTTAATCAGCACAGTTGATTAAACAGATGTTTCCTGTGTTTTTACAGGCTATCCAGGTTTTCAGACTACTACTTACACCAGCCGCAGTTACTCTGGACTAGCACCTGGATACACGTACCAGTTACCAGGTGAGCCTGTTTAAACCCACTCCCTTTAGCGTTAGAAACAGACTCATTATTATTACTCCATATTTTCTTGCTCCATCTTAAACTCTAAATGTTGTTGTACCTTTGATTCATCGTGTTTGCTTCTTTCGTCTTTGATTAGTTGCTGTTTATTTGATCTACTTATGTAACGGCCTTTCATTTGGCTGCGCGGCCCCTCCTTTTCCTCTGCTCCTGCCTTCCTGCCGCTCTGCGTCTGTGTGCGTTTGTGGCTTTGTAGTTTGGTTTTGTGTATGGTCACCGTGTTTACAAAGCGCTCTCTCTCGACCTTCTCTGTTTCTAGAGTTCCACATAGAGCGGACTCCCCTTCTGACGTCGTCTCACCCCCCTGAACTGGCAGGTCAGTGCTCGATCTTTGGAAGGCCACGAGAGAAAAACAAACTCATTTAGCAGCAGAACGTCCGAGTGAACTGTCTGCTTTCAGCGTTTTGTTGTTGCTATACACAAACTGTTTATCTGAAGTGAAAGCTGTTCATTTGTTTTACATTAATTGATTTTCTCCTAAGATCGTTTCACTGTTCCGCTCTCAGAAACCTTACAGGAACGACAGGAACTAAAATAAGTTATTAGATACTAAAACACAATGATCAAAGAGTAAGACTAACCCGAAACGCATCATTTAAACCAAAACGTGGGCGTTTGATTTTTCAGTGACTCCAAAGTGAAGCAGATTCTGATTAATTAATTAATTCTGATTTTTTTTTTTTTAATATTTAAAATAGGTTTTGTTGAACCTGTTCTAACAAAAACAGGTTTAACAAATTAAAAGTTTTGCATTTTTTTGAAAAAATTAATTTCGCCCGCCTCCTTTCATGCCCGTGTTGGTCTATTTTCATTCAACCTTTATTTATACAGGTGAGTCGTGCTGGACTAAGATCATCTGATGTTGATAAATGAGTTATAACTATTTTGCTCAAAACTTGAACTTAAAATTATGAAATGACTTCTATCTCAAAAGATGCTGTGATATCCTGCATGATCTGTTAGCTCTCTGAGTATGTGTTGTGAGTGACGTCACCTACGGCCACACCACATTTTAGCTTAATATTTATAAAACTGACTGAAGTGCAGCCTTTTTTGTATAGGATAAGGTTAATTAGCTGCGGCAGCCATCTTGTCTTGTGTTTACTGTGCGGATGTGGCTGAGTGGTTAGAGCAGTCGTCCTCTAATGCAAGAGTTGAGGGTTCGACTCCACCGACGGTCACATGCCAAAGTGTCCCTGGGCAAGACACTGAACCCCTCATAGCCTCCGATGTGTGTCCCATCAGTGTTCTGATTAATCTCTACAGATTCAGATGAGCTTTGTGTAGCTATAACAAGAGTGCTGCATTAATGGGTAAATGAGGGCACAGACGGTGCAGTAAAGAGCTTTGAGTGTCTTGATAAGATGGAAAGGTGCTTTATAAGTACAGTCCGTTTACATTTACAGTCGTCCCTCGCTACTTCGCGGTTCGTTTATCGCGGACTCGCTCTATCGCGTTTTTTTTAAATGATTGGACATGACACACGAGTGGCTGATAGATGGATGAACCGCACGATCGGCATGGAATTTTTATTTTAAAATAAATTATTTAGCACCTGTGCGCAGCCCAAGCTTCTTCATGCAGCGTGTCATATCCGCTCTGCAGCGGAGAAGTGGGCGTGGCCGAGAGCAGCAGGAGGCCGAGAGCTGAGATCATGACATGCTGTGCTCTTTTAGAGCATTTAGAGTTTAGAAACATTGTTTAGATTCTATTTTTTTTATTCTATTCTAAACTTTAGAATATTGCAAGTGTGGGAAGGGTTTAAAAATATATAACTATATATACACTAAAATAAACTACTACTTACCACTTGTACCATTATTCCTACTTCACAGTTTTTTTATTTATCGCAGGACTTCATGGTACGGATCCCCTGAGATAAACGAGGGACTACTGTACTCCAAAGTTAATCAGTTGTAAATGAACAACCAGTGATTTCAGCCATTCTGAGAGTTTTATTGAAATTCTTCCTCTGGTTCAGGAGATATTTTACTAACAGACCAACGACGCTGATGCCAACATTTTAAGCAAAGATTTTTCACACAGCTTTGTGCTCAGAGTATGTGTTAGGGACAAAGTGTACTACTACTGCACCAAATGTTACCTCATTATCTGTAAAATCGACGTCACATTTGTGGGTTTTTTTTTTAATCATCAAAGCTCAGTTCAGTATTTATTCCTAATATCTAGCTGCTAGTGGGATTTATTTTGATCAAGTATTTCAAAAGGAAAGAAACCCAGAGCAGCTTTTAGAGCAGGGACATGCATAAGTAACTATTGTTGCAGACCTGATGATATTTCTCTCTTTGGTCCTGAATAGCGTGATGCTGCACGTGTCTGACTCAGTCAGCGAGAGGGACGGCAGAGCTGCTATTTATAACACGTAAAAGTCCCGTCATCCACTCCGATTCCTTCTGACACACACAGCTAACATTAGGACCAAGGCCTGAATGCAGCGGTTCAGCATTTCAGTTCTGCTCTATTTTTAGCTCATTTATAATTTGAATGAAGTCAGTGGGCCAAACGGGTTCATTATACCTCATCGGCTTTTCACAAGTGCCCGATTTTTATTGTTCTCCGAGCTAAAAGCAGCTCATCCTTTAAATCTACAAAGCCACTCTTACATCCTTGCTTGTACTCATGATCCTTCGGGTTTGTCCTTATACCGGTAATCGGTGAACCTAGAGCCAGATGCTTGTAGATGTAGCACCGGACTGTCCCCCCCCCCTCCTCCACCAGTTGGATTTAAATGACGTGACAGATGTGCGAGCAGATGTAGCTTCACCCACACTGAGCTGTAGATTATTGCTTATGATCTGCTATGAGAGTGATCCACAATGACTTGTTTGTGCCATAATTTGGTTTGTTGTGTAATCCTCAGCCATTCCCCTCACTGCTTATGGACCAATGGCAGCTGCAGCAGCAGTAGTCAGAGGTATGTGTGTGTGTGTTTTCTATATTTGTACTGCATGTTTGCTTTAGGTAGAGTGTTTTCACAATGGGCTGCTAGGACAAATAAAAGCATATTTTTAGATGTGTGTGTGTGACCTGACTCGTCTCTCCTGCCTCCAGGCTCCGCTCCATCACGCACAGCTGGCTTCCTGGGCACCAGCAGCCCCGGACCAATGGCTGACCTGTATGCTGCAGCCAATCAGGACTCAGGAGTCAGCAGCTACATCAGCGCTGCTAGCCCTGCACCTAGCACAGGGTTCGGTCACGGTTTAGGGGTAGGTCACTCAGCTCACACTTGAAATAAGAAAATAAATAACAAATCAGTGGAGGAAAAAAAATTAATTAATTAATTCTTGGGTTTTAAATATCAGGACACAATAAAATGTAGTCTTTACCAGGATCTAAAATTTGTCGACCCCCCCCCAAGTTTAGAAAAGGACGCTACAAAGTCCATCATGGCATTCTTTTAGAAACAAAAACAAATTAAAATGGAACAGCGGTGTGTGAAAATCAAAAGTTTAACCATGCTGCTTCAGTAGGATTTAGGACAAGGGTGTCCAAAGTGCGGCCCGCGGGCCATTTGTGGCCCTTGGAGTAATTTTGTGCGGTCCACAACTGCAGATTAAGAATGGTTTCATTTTGACCAGCAGGCTTAAGAGCCGTCTTTGTGCTAATGCATTGCAATCATTATATAATGTTTAGGTTTAACAGCAAAATAGATGAAAAAAATATTTTCAAAATGAGTAATATTCAGCAAAATACAAATATTTGGCTGCAATGAATCTTTTTATTTTCACTTCATGGTACAAAGCACCACAAACCTTTACAGACTCCTATCAAAAGAGACGTTGGGATAATTATTCATGTAACTTGGCTAAATATAACAAATTGCAGTTGATAAAATAATCAATAGAGGGAAGTTGGACATTTTTCAATTAATATAAAGTTGTATCATCTGCATAACAGTGGATCAACTTTATCAGTGTCCCTTCAAACCTTCTGTTGTAGCAACTGACAGCTGAAAGATTTTTCAGAACTTTGATCCTTTTGGGTCCAGAGGTCTGATCGACTTCCTTTTAAAAGGACACTTACTCATATTACGCTTTTATTGCCGAGAACAGACTAAAATGAACTTTCAAAACACAAGAAAACAACAAACATAGACCCAACAAATCAAATTGTTGTTTTTTTTAAATAAAAATATAAGGTTAGTGTTTATGAGGCTTTTAATGTTTTTGATCTGCAACTATTTAAAACTCTTTCTACACCAAAATTAGTAAACTTTTGTCCTTTCCTCAAAATATTGTTCACGTTGAGAGTTAAACTCACATTTTCGTGGCCCATGAGTTCTTTCGTCTGGATCGTTCAGACCCTCATATGAAAAAGTTTGGACACCCCTGATTTAGGAGGTAAAGTTGGAACCAGTTGTTGGTAAATAAATTCACTTGAGTAGCTGATCATCAGCAGGAGTTGGGACAGAGTCCTCTGGAGCATACAGATGTTTGTTATCACAACGCCAAGGCGGAAAGACATCAGCAATGTCCTTGACGAAACAACTGGGAAAGATTAAAGGTTGTTTCCAGATAATCTGGAGACTTTCATTTGACAAGTTCAAGATTATTCACAAGCAGAAACCATCTGGTCAGGAGTGGGGGAGGTCCCAGCAAAATCACCCCAAGGTCAGACTGTGCAGTGATGAGATAATTTGTAAAAAGAAACAAACACCCAAGATCCATATCTTACTCTTCAGGCTTCGGTTAACAAGTTAAATGTTGAAATTTATTATATGAGCCAGTATGACCTGCTTTGGAAGAGTTGTCAAGAAAAAGAGAAAGCTCTTTTCTCTCTAAACGGAATTTGGCTGCATTAATGATGATGTAAAAAAGAGAGGGGCAAAAATCCTCAACAACCACGTGAGGCTGATGGAGCCACTCAGAACACGACTTCAAGTCGTCGCTGTTGAAGGAGGTCCTACCTAAAGTGGACCGAAACACAGCTTGATCGTTTTTGGTAAATCATCTGTTTAATACATAATGACACCGTTGTTTCTTTTCTACATTTGAGGTTAGATTTGAATAATTTAAAAACCTGGTAAATACCATGGACTCGTTTTTATTTTATTCTGATGCATAAAACCTTGTGTGTACGTAGGGGCATGTATTCACAGAGGCTGCAGAGAGTGGATTTATTCTTGGTTTTCTCTCCCCAGGGTCCTCTGATTGCTACTGCATTCACTAATGGCTACCACTGAGAAGACTCCGGTCACTGAGGATTGGAGGACGTCTCTCCTCTCTGTCGGGCCAATCAGAACTCTGGCTGCCCACTCGATGGCACGGTCCGACTGGCCGCCCACAAGCTCTTCTGGCTCCACGTGGCTCCACCCACCGACTGAATATCTTTTTTAAACCAATACTCGTTTTGCTGTACTAATCTCACTTCAACATAACGTCCCCGTTTCTCCCCCTTTTGTCTTCATGTAGTGTAACGCCTAGACCCCGCCCCCCCTCCTCCATCCGTTAACCATTTCCTTTTTTCTTCTGGAGTTGACGGAAGAAAAGTGCAAGAAAAAAAAAAATCCTGTTTGTCATCTTCACGCGAGACAAAGAGGACTGTTTTAATTATTATTTTTTTTTTTAAAGTTTCACAAAAGCTGGTATGAATGTGAACCGAGAAAAAACACGTGAGATGGGTTGTCTGTAAAAAAACAAACACACACAAAAACAGTTTTTAGCGAAGGAAGAACAAATCCAACAAAGTCCTTTTTTACTCTCAAGTGTGACGGAAACATTGAGAAACACAAAAAAATGTATATTTTGGTAGTCTTTAAAAACAAAACCTTTGTAATATTATTAATATTGACTTAATAATGATAATCTGTAAGGTATTTTCTTCTGTAATTGGTTTTAAAGCAATGTTTTTATGTCTTCCTGTAAGATATTGTATATAGACGCAGGGGAGGTGGGGGTTGCCGTACCTGCTGGCATGTCATTGGTTGGTTTAACAGCGATTTGACTGGATGTCACTTCCTGCTGTCTGCGCTCGTCTCACTACTTTAGCAGTGCGTGTACAGAACACGTGCACACTGCGGGCCAGTCCTCTTCGGCGCTCTTCAGTACATTTCCAGACGTTTGTCAGGTCCTCACCTAACTACCTGTTATGTAACGAACACCTTTTCCTTCTTTAAAAAACAAGTTTTGCATCTTCACGAAAACCTTTTACAAACACGACGGACTCGAGGAAGAACCTCGAGCAGGAGAAAGTGGGATTTCGTGAGTTTTGGGAGCCGCCCTTTTCAAACACGTTCTTTTTTGTTGTTGTTGCGCAGTTCACCTGGCTTTTTGTTGTTTATTGTTTTCTTTTTCTTGTCAAGAAAAAAAACAACTTTATTTTCTGCGGTGTTGTCCACCGTGAAAAACTAATGAAGGACATTCTCCGAGAACACAGCTGTAGCATTCTGTCCTCCCATCACTGTTGAAGGTGCGTGTGGTTGAGAGAGTGTGTGTCATCAAAGAGTAGTACGGAGCTACTTTTGGCAAACGAAGGAGCGTTTGTGTTGCCTTTTCTCTTTGGTCCTGTAAAGAAAAGAATGAAGGGGTCGCCCCGTTTCATTTTGGTTCGTCTGCTTTTCTCGCCTGACTTTCTCCCGTTCCGCACTGGCGTGTGATAAATTTGTGCTTCTCCGGAACCAACATATTTTTGTTTGTATGAATATATATAAATATATATATATATATATATAGTTGCTGCTCCATGTGGTGAATAGACAGGACTTGGGCAGGGAACCAGAAATGGAACAGGGTCATGCTTCCAGTCCGCTCTGATACGACACGATGACTCTGGCTGGCAGGAAGAGACAAAAAGAACGAGCTGCAGGAAAACGAGCTACTTGTTCAGATTTCTTACCGAACGCCTGTTTGGTAAAAAAAATAAAAACTTCCTGATCCAGCCAGGAGCTCCTCTGTCAGAGATGCTGGGACACAATTAATAATAAAAAAAAAAAACTACTGCTGGACACCAACACTGTAACTTTTTAACTTACAATAAAGCAATAAGTTATTTTTTACCTTACAAATGAAAATAGTACTATTATTGGTAATAGCAGACAACAAGTGGAAAATTCTGCGGCATTAAGACTTATTTTCAGAAAAAAAGAAACTATATTTTTCTGTTTTGAGATGTTTTCCCCCCTTTTGTATATTAATTTTATTGATGTCTTTTGTTTTGGTGATGTATGGAGGAAGGCCAATGTCGTGAATGGAGCTCTGCGTGAGCTCGGATTAAAAAAATAAATTGTACTGTCCCCCGTCGAACTTTCCTTGACTTTTTTTTATTTCAATTTGAAGTTCTTAATAAATTATTTTAAAGCAAATTGCACCCGATTGTTTTTTCACCAATGTAAGCGAACTTGTCTTCTAGATTAAACAAGCACAGATTTAGTGACTCGGTTGAAGGATTTCGTTTCCCTAGCTCTAAATCCTGTAGAGCAGAGCGGTCTTCATCTTCAGTGAAGAGAACTGCTCACCCCCCAGTAGAGTTGAAAGATACATGAAGCAGAAAGTACTTTAAATCAACACAGAAGAAGTTTGTTTTCTGTTTATAAGTACGGTAACTGTCCATATATTTTAAAGTGTGGTTCTGTAGAAACTTAAAACAGCTAATATCTTTCCTGTTTTAGCTCATTATCCTTTTGGAGGTCAATTTATTATCGAAGCAATATCAAGCTGAATGATTAGCTAACAGCTAGTTCTAGACCAAAATCTACTGCTGTCATCTTGACCCACCTGCTGCACTTGGGTCAAAGTGACTCAAGGTCTCATGGGTCATGTTGGCCTGAGGGCTGCTGAAGGGTTGAAATGTTTCCAGTCACGAAAATGACGGCTGTCCGTGCAGCTTTTAGCTCGCACCTCTGGGAGAGTCGTTCACATGTCCCGGGGGAGGTCAGGGACAAGGAATCTGAATGGGAATGTTCAGGGCCTCTTTTGCAGATGTGGCTTCCAAGAGATGTGGCCTGAAGGTCATCGGTGCCTGTCGCGGCAGCAATCAAAGGACCCACTGTTGGACACCAACGCCGATGGGAGGCCATCATGACTTTGTTGTTCCAGAGGACTCCAGAACAGCTGACAGGTACAGGGTGGCCTGGAGGACTGCAGCTTCGGTGATGGCAGAAGAAAAAACTCGGGCATAGGAGGAATTCGGGGAGGCCATGGTCTCAAAGTTTTAGCAAACGGTTTGGCGACCCAGGAAAGGACTGCAGACTATCCCAGGCTGTGCTTGGTTTGGGTGGAGGACTGATGATCCGAACTGAGGATATTGTTGAGCAGTTAAAGGAGTACTTTGAGGATTTCCTTAATCCATCTACCATGTACACCTTTGAGGAGGCAGAGTCTGAGGACTTTGGGGAAGATGGGTTCATTACCATGGCAGAGGTCACCGAGGTAGTCAAAAGCTCCCCGGCAGCAGAGCGCCAAGGGTGGATGAGATTCGCCCCGAGGTGCTGAAGGCTGGATGTTGTGGGGCTATCATGGTTGACTCATCACTTCAATGTCTCATGGAGGACTGGGATAAGACCAGTGGAGTGGCAGACCGGGGTGGTAGTTACCATTTTTAAAAAGTGGGATCGGAGAGTGTGTTCCAACTATTATGGGATCGCACTTCTCACCCTCATTAGGAAAGTTTATTCCAGGGTGTAGGAAGGGAGATTCCGGCTGATTGTCAAACCTCAGATTCAGAAGAAGCAGTGTGGCTTCCATCCTGGTTCTGAAATAGTGGAGCAGATTGTTACTCTTGCAGAGTTTCTAAGTGGGACATGGGAGTTTGCTTCTCGTACGTGTTTTTTGTGGATCGGGGAAATGCTATGTTCCTTGAGGCATTCTGTGGGTGGTGTTGCAGGAGTATGGGGTGGTGTTGCAGGAGTATGGGGTGCCTGGGTTGATTTTAAGAACTGTCCCTGTATAACCAAAGCAAGAGCTGTGTCTGCATTCTAAGCAAAAAGCTCATTCTCGGTGTGGGTTGCACTCTGCCAGAACTGTCCCTTGTCTCAGATCCTGTTTGTGGTTTTCATGGACAGGATCTTGAGGCACAGTCATGGAGAGGAGGGTGTCTGGTTTGGGAACTTCAGGGTCTCATCTCTGCTTTATGCAGATGATGTGGTTCAGCTAGCATTTTTAGGCCAAGACCTTCAGTGTGTACTGGGGCAGTATGCAGCCTAGTGTGAAGCAGAATGAGAGCCAGTTCCTCCAAATCTGAGGCCAAGGTTTTTGATCAGAAAATTGCCCCCTCTGAGTTGGTGGGGAGCTCTTGCCTCAGGGTGGAGGAATTCAAGTATCTGGGCGTCTTGTTCATGAGTGAAGGTTGGATGGAACGGGAGATGGGTTTACAAATTTACCCATACCATACCATTTTATTTATAGAGCACTTAAAACAGCTACAAGGCCGACCAAAGTGCTGTACAGACAGAACAACAGGTAACACACGAAGCAAAATACAAAATGAGGTAAATCAGAATATAGACATAAAAACATTGCAGATAATAAATATGACGACTAACCACTGTGGAGCATACAGGTTAAAAACACAGATCATCTGGTGTTGAAAGCTACTGAATAGTAGTGGGTTTTTAAACGGGACTTAAAAACCGAGAGGGAGGGGTCCTGTCTGACAAGCAGAGGTAACTCGTTCCAAAGTCTTGGTCCTGCTTTGGGCCTCATCCACAGTAAATGAGGATTGCTTCGGTCAGTCGTGGTGAAGAAAGAGTTGAGTCAAAAGGCAATGCGCTCTGGTCTGTCCATGTTCCAACCCTCGCCTATGGTCATGAGTTTTGGATCATGACAGAAAGAAGGAGATCTTGGATACAAATGGCCAAAATGGATGGACGTTCTTTGTAGGGTGGCTGGGCTCACCCTTATGGCTCCAGTATACTCGGGCGGACCTCAGTCCATGGAGGTCCGCGCGTACTGGATTAGACTTGAAATGGACGCCCGCAGGGCGTCTGTGCAAAGATAAATTTTTACAACCACGTGTGCTTGCTCAATGTCGTACAATAAACTGCCCGGCGATGGACTGTTTTGTATGCAACATCAATGTATTAAATTCTCCTTCTTCATCACTGATCTGGTTTAATGGCCTTTTTTTTTTTCAAGAGGCAAGTGATCTCTTCCTCTTCCTCCTCCTCCTCCGTTGACGCCACGACTGAAGGGATTTGTCATGAGTCAGGTCCAGCGTGGCTGCAGGAGGGTCTGGACATTTCCTGGCGGGCTGGTTTGATGTGTGGGCTGCAGGTCCAGCGCTCCCTGTTGTTTTTTTTTTTTTTTAGAAGTTTTTATTAACATATAAACACAGAACACAGCTGCGGCTTGCTGCCAGCTCTCTCTCTCTTTTTTTTTTTTCGAATCAATCCAGTAGGTGTGTCAGCAAATGACCAATTGTCAAACTCAATTTGTCCTGAAGGTAAACGCCCCTGGCCTGCGGAGCTGACTGTAGCCGGTCAGGGTGGACCCTCGAGTATGAAGTCTCAACCCTTTGTGGACAGAGCGCACAGTTTCCGCACGGACTGAGGACCGCCCGAGTCTGTGGGAGCCTTTAGTGATGGGGTGAGGAGCCATAAGGGGTGGGGTGTTTGGAGTAGAGCCGCTGCTCCTCTGCACCGCAAAGAGTCAGTTGAAGTGGTTCAGGCGTCAGATTAGGATGCCTCCTGGATGCCTTCCTTTAGAGGTTTTCCAGGCACATCCCAATGTTAGGAGGCCCCTGAAGACCCAGAAGTCACTGGAGGGATGGTGTATCTTCTTTGGTCTGGGAACACCTCGGGGTACCCCAGAATGAGCTGGAAAGTGTCACTGGGGAGAGGGATGTCTGGGTTTCTCTCATGTACCAGTTGCCTTTGTGACCCAGCTATGGATAATCAATAGAAGATGGTTGGATAGACGAATGGATGTTACGGTCATTAGCATTTCATAAATGTTTACATAGAACTTGGTCATGTCCGAGCACAATTAGCAGCAGCTGCTAGCTGTAGCACTTCCAGTACAACTCAACATTCTAGCAGGAGCACCATAATATTTTAGCCAGCAGGGTATATCATTCAACCTCAGTCAATATCACTGTTTAAAAACACAAATAATATTCACACTGTAAAACTTTAGGACTGAAGATGTTGTTTTGGAGCACAAGTTAGGAGTCATCAGGACTCTGTATCACAGAGCAGACAGCGTCCCCACTAGCTCAGGAGCCAGGCAGAAGGAGAAATCCTACACAAGACAGGCTCTAGAGCAATGTGGATATCCTAACTGGGCCTTCCTAAAAGCAGAGAAGAAACCCAAACAGGACTCCAGTCAGCCAACAGGTGAAAAGGAGGAACCCAGACCCAGACCAGTGGTCATTCCATATGTTGAGGGAGTATCAGAGAAACTGAGACGTTTATTTTCTAAACATAACGTCCCAGTGGCTTTTAAACCCCAAAATACATTACGGCAAAGACTGGTTCATCCCAAAGATCCAGTCCCCCGGCACAAACAG